GGTGTCATTTGCTCTGATACGTAGCACTCGGGGGGAAATGAACGCTTATCTTATTTTATTGTTTATTTATCGAACCTTATGTTGTTATTTGAGGAGTTATCATATTGATGTTATTTTATGATTCAAAAGATGCTATGTCTCATATGGAGAACTATTATGAATCCGCTGCGTGACTAATCAAAGTTTGGTTTATGTTATGAAGATTATATTCATGAGTTGTGTTCATTCCTCTTCTTTAAGTGTTATGTATCTATTTTAAAAGCATGACAAGTTTATGCGTCTCTGTTGAATGTGTGGGAAGTTTCGATGCTGATAATATGTTTGTTGTGTTAATTTGTGATAATCATTGATGTCAGTATTTGATTCAATTTGTTGGTATTCAAAACCAAATGGGATTTGTGATGTCGATGTTTGTTATTCAGTTTGATTTTGAACGGTGAATTTGTAATGACAATACTTTTGTTGGTATGTTTTAATGTTGTGTTGATTGAGTCGTTTTGAAAGAGATTTTAGATGACATTTTAGTTTCATTTTGAGCTTAAAATCAAAAGAAATTTGTTTGTGGCATCGTTGTGTTCTCGCTAGTGTTTGGTAGTTTTTAAGTGAATTTTATCGAGCATCAATAGGTTTGCATAGTTGTTGCCCCGAATTTGGTTTGGAATAGCTTATTTTAAACTCGATTTTTCATGTCTTGAACTTGAATTGAGTAAGAAATTGAGTTTTTGATTCCCGTTTTGTTTGAACATAACCAAGTTGTATCGTTGAGTTTTGGTGTTTGAATCTGTTTCGAACGAGAAGGTGCGTTTTTGTTCATTTGTTACGACATGTTTGAAAGAGATATTAATGATGTTTTAGGCGCAATTGCTATTGAATTCAATGGGTAACTAGGTTGTAGCATTGTTATGTATTCCGTTCTTGTTGAACATATTTGAATCAGAATTATTGAACATCGATATGCTTAGTGTAGCTGCTGCCTTTAATTTGTCTTGGTTGATTTAAGCTTGCGTTGAACTTGATTTTTCATGTCTTAAACTTGAATCGAGTAATAGCATGAAACCTTGACTTTTGTTTTCATTTGTGAAATGATAATCATGAATAATCATTGTGTTTACTTGATATTGAATGAATTTAGAACGGGGAATGCTATGTGGATTGAATATTGACTTAAGCTCTCGATTCTTGAAAAAAATTCATGTTACATTATGCAATTTTCATTTGATTTCATTTTGATTCTGTTGTGATTACTAACTTGTTTCTTTGGTTGATGCAAGTTCTTAAGTGATTCAAGTTTCTTTCTCCTTAATCCCATCTTGTTCCATTTTTCTTTCATTTTATAATCTATTAGTTACACATTGTTTCAATTAATTGATGTCTGTTAATTAAAATAAAATAGTTTACTAATCTATTTTTATTAACTCGATTAATTAGTTTAATCGATGTTTAACTAATAGATTTTTACTCTTTTTATTTTCATTCCACATTCGGTAAATTGTATCCCATTCCCCCTTTTGTGATGTAATTAATTTACCACTTTTCTCTTTTATCCTTTAATACCCATTCATAAACGATGTATCCCTCTCCCCTAAAGTTTATAATAATTTAGTTTACATTTACTTGATTATTCCATCATCATTTGTATGGGCACAACCAGAAATCACTTCTTTCAAATTAATAATTGATTACGAATCATTTCCATCCCGTAAGTCGACAAAGCTTTTAAGCGTTGCAATAAACACACAAGCACACTTCCATGTTGGTTCCTGGGCCTTCCTACAATATACTCATATTCGATCACTTGTTTCAATTGGTCGTTTAGAGGCTAGTTCACTTTGCTAATTTACACTTAGAACCTAGGACACGTGTATTACAATTTATGCTTGTGTGAGCTGCCTTGTATGAACTTTTATCGATTTATTTGCTTTACTTTCACGAATGTTCACAATTAATTGCTTCATTTCCATTCTCGCGCTTTGATCCACATACCAAAATTTCTGTTAGAGTTTCATAATAGAGGTATTTTCTCGAGGTTAATCAAGTCATGTGGCTTGGTTAATCATGACTCGATTCATTCCTTCTGAATCTATCTATAACATCTAAAACACTTTCATAACAAACTTCTCAACCTCGTTCCAAAGTCGAGTCTTCTTTCTTTCTTCAAATAAAAAAAAAGGGTCTTATAGTAGGGAATAAACACTTGTCTATTCTCTCGAGATTAATCAAGCCTTGTCTTGGTTAATCATAACCTTTATAATCTTCTTTTATCACCACTTTTATAATTATAGTTCCAAACCTCGATCCAAAGTCGAGTGACTTTTCTCAAATAAATAAGGGTTGCATAATAGAGATAGACACATGTCTACTCACTCGAGATTAATCAAGGACAAGTCACGTGGCTTGTATTAGTTAATCATGGCCCGACTAAAATACTTTTAAATAGAAGGGATAGTCACATATCTTTCATCTTCCTAAGTTAATTAAGGACAAGTTACCTAATTTGTATTAATTTCTCAATCTTTTCATAAAAAAAGATTAAATGGGAGGGTTTAGGTACCTATCTTTTCTCGCCTTAAGTGTACGGGTTCTAAGTACCTACTTTGGATATTCAAACACTCGTGTCCTATAAAATCAATCTCAACTCACTTCAAACATTTTGCCACTTGACTTTTCAATTTTAAAACTTTTTCAAAACGAGTTATATTTTGTCCGTTCCGTGACGATGAAACAACGTTCCTTACGCATGTGAATGTTGAGCCTTTTCCACTCGAATACGATGATGGCAAGAGTCCGTGCATAATCCAGACTCAGTAATTCATTCTTGAAGTGGTGCAATCATTCCATTATCCATGCTTTGGGTAGTCATGTTTCTGTTCAAATGTGATCGAGTATCTCTCACCAAAAAGAACCAACAAACAAGCATTTTCTACCCGAACTACAAAGCTATGATTTTCCTATTGAACTATGGGGGATACATAGGCACACGATTTTGAAACCACGACGAGCACAATAGTAAAAAATCTAAAAACATTTCTCCTTTCTCTCTTTCTCTTTAGAAGATAGCAAACTTTCACACTAACACACGAGCACAAAGTAACTAAATGGGTACTATCGAGTACGATGGATGTGAGAGATGTTAATACATTCCCATTGCATAACCGACTTTCGAACTCTCTCTTTAATCTCGACGACCATTTCTTTTCTCTTGTGGATTTTATTGGATATTTTCCCTTTCCTTCTTAGAATAAATAAATCTCAGTGACGATTTCATTGATCGAATATTTTTCAAGGCACTACAATGTGTCACTGATATTGTAATATTTATTTCACATAACAAAATATAATTACAATAAAAGAACATTCCAACTTAATACGTAAAAAAACAAACATACAAATGTTGTGACACTGATATTGTAATCACTATTTCACATAACAAAAAAATACATATGATGTGTCATTGATATTGTAATCACTATTTAATTACTTTACACGGGGTGCACTGACCCCACTATAATTTAATTAATTACTTTACTAGTATACATGTAAATATGCTTCTATGTAATCCTTTTCAATGTTTACAATGTAATTTTTTCTATACATGTTTACAATTATTAAGCGTAAGATATATTGACTCATGTGCCAAAAGGACTACATATCTTTAGAAGTATTATTATAAACATATATATCCCAATTAGGTGCATTTAAAGATTTACAAATATTTTAAAGATAAGAAAGTTTAATAATTTCAAAATATTTGAGAACTGATGGATATTTATATTTAAAAATATATATTTGTTTTCAGAAAGTTGTTTGTGTTATTTTTTTATTTTTTCAAAAGACAACAATTTTTTTAATACTACAATGAGTTACTGTAGTATTTTCCCGTTTTCATCTTATATTAACTATTATTTTTTATTATATCTTCACTAATTAATAGTATTTGTATTGTTTCCGATTCAATATATTCCGCTTGACAATTAAGGCAAGTGTAAATCAAAATTTCAATTATATTCTCTTTAGTTAATATAATTTTTATTGTTTCCAATTCAATATATTCCCCTTTGCAACTATGATAAGTATAAATCAACAGTAAGAAATACTTTATGCTCATATCAAAATAAATAATTTTGACCTCATTAATCAAAAATCTTAGATCCGTCCCAATTTACAACTCAATGGGTAACAAACAATATCAAGTGGTAAAAAAAGCATACTATTCATATCTCCAATAATACATCATGACCAAAAACCATACACATAAAATTTTGGATAAATTTTGCCAAATTTTTTTTGTTACTTCTAAATTTTTTGTATTTTATTAAAATTCATATTATGCATGTAATTTAGAAAGAGTATTTTTTTGACTTTGTTAATCTCTTTATTAACTTGTTTGTATTAGTACTAAACATGATATGTTTCATATATAGAGTGGACACGACAATTTTTCTGTAAAGATGATCATAGAAAACATCAGATAATAGCTTTCTTCATTGATTTATTAAGTAATTTTTAATCTCTTTTATTTTATTTTGTGTTTGTGTATATCAAATCTTAATTCTTTCATTTAAGATGTTTATAGGCTTTGAGCCTGACACATATAAAACTGATCCAAACACATCCTACCAACCCGAATCATGAATGTTATTATATTGTTTTGATAAGTTTCATTTCAAATATTTTCGCAATTTGCATTATATTTGAAAAATTTCCATAAGAAGAGACTTGTGACATGTGAAAATCCTCTAAAACATCCACTTACAACGAGTAAGTAACGAAAGCTGATAATTAAAAATAGTAAAAATAGATTAGGTAGAGCATTGATTCCTAAAACACAATCTTGGCGGTGGATTTGAAAAGCCTCCCTCTCTTTTTCCCCTAAAATCATTTTATTTATTTCCCCCAAAACACTCCAAACGTGTCTATAGTCCAATCGCATGTCTCTCACCAGAAGAAACCCAATAGTTACATTACATAACTAGGGTTCATCTCTTTTTCTCAACTTTTTAATGGCGGAGGAACACAACAATACCACAACCACAGTCACAGAAGATTCCATTCCCGATCATCGAGAAAAAACTGATATACCCGAAACGGTGCCGTTCAGAGTCGATGACGTGGCAAAGGACGCGAATGTTGTATCGGGAACGGCGTCCTTGAAGGAAGCAGAAGAAGCTATGAATATTGGCAACAAAACGGCGTCGTTGAGGGACGGTTTAGGTTCGGTTGAAGGTGATGACGTGGCAGCTGGATATTCTTCTTCTTTTTCTTCTGTTAAACCTACCGTCGTTGAGCCGATAAAGTACCAAAGAAGGAAAAATAAACCAAAGAGTAATTTCGAAATTGAAACGGTAAAGAATGTACCAAAAGAAGAAGAAACGGTTAAAGTCGATGACGTGGCAGGTGGTGGCTCTGATTCTCTTCCACCGGAGAATGCGAAACGCGGCGTAAAGAGAAAACCGGAGAAGGAAGATGAAGTGGTCGAAGGCAATGGCGTGGGGGTGGCGTTGGGAGGTTTATCTTCTGTTGATTTTATTGCGAGAAAGAGTGAACGTCCTAGGAAGGTTAAATTGTTTGCGGATTTCGTGTCAGTGTTGGACGTGGAAGTGAAGAAGAACGGGGATTGTAGAAGGAAGAATGCGGTAATAGATGTACATGAATGGGAATATGTGAAGGAAGAGAAGAAGAAACCTGGTAGAAAAAGGAAGAATGATTATAGTTCTGAAGAAGATTATAAAGATGCCTTAGATGGGGAAAGCGTGAAGAAAGAGAAGAAGAATGGTTCTAGTTCTGAAGACGATTATAATCTTGAACTAGACGGGGAAAATGCGAAGAATAGGAAGAAGAAACCTGGTAGAAAAAGTAAGGCAGTTCATGATGATTCTGGAGAAGCATATGAAGCTGCACTTGACGGGGAAAATGGGAAGAAAACACCTGGTCGGAAAATTAAGATCGAAGAGAATGAACTGGTCTCTGAAAAGAAGTCTGAGAGTTATGTGCTGAAGGACATTAAAACTGAAACGCCTTTGTCTAATGATAATAAAGGTTATCCTTTACGAACGACTATTAACAGGAAACCTGCATTACTTGAACATGTGGTGCCAAAACCCAACAACAAAAATACTAAGGTGCCATCGCATGATCTCTTTACTTATTTATATTTCAGCTTGTAGATATATGAATATATGTTTGAGTTTGCTCGGTTTATAACATTGTGGTTCTATTACTGTTTCTCAATTAACAGTTTGTTGAAGAGGTGTCCTTAATGTGCCATCAATGTCAGAGAAATGATAAGGGCAGGGTTGTCAGATGCACTAACTGCAAACGGAAAAGATTTTGCATACCCTGTATAAATAATTGGTACCACTTCATTTACTTTTGTTTTACTTTTTTTAACTTGATTCCTCGGTGTTGGTTATTTGTTATTGAATATGATTTGTTCACCCAAGGTAACAAACCTGATATCTCTGTTGTATTTGGATGTAATTAAAATGATAATGATTATTATTATTATGTTGAAAAAATATTATTAGTTTAGACCGTGGATGATGAATTTCTGACCAGTATATGTTTTTCTGTTATCTCCTGTTAAGGTATCCTTACTGGAAAGAGGACGAAATTGCTGAGAAATGTCCGGTGTGCTGTGGTAATTGCAATTGCAAAGCATGCTTGCGATCATGTGTACTTGTCAATGTAAGTTCTCCACCTTCTAGATTAACTATTCCAGTGATTTTTCTGTATTCCACTCGTGAAATGTGATCATCTGTTCACTACAGGCAATTAAAGACAAAAAGAAAGAAACCAGCAAAGATCATGAGGTTGGGCCCTCCAAGTATATGCTAAAAGAACTTCTTCCGCATTTAATACGATTGGATGAGGAACAAATGACCGAGAAGGAGATAGAGGCGAAAAGACAAGGTGTTTCATTTCTTCCTCCAAGAGTATCCCATCTTGCAATCCATTTCTTCATGCTTTTTTCTCCATCCTCTTATTATATTGAGTTGCTTTGCCCATATTTCACGGTCCTGACTCTTTATTTGCACTATTTTTAACGCATGTGCTTTTTTTGATTATGTGTTGTTTTTCTTAGTTTCATTTATTTTCCATTTTTAAACTTTCTTTTGTGATGAACATTACAGGGCTCCCACTATCGGAGCTAAAAATAAAAGTAGCAGATTACTTTAAAGATGAGCGCGTGTACTGGTAGAGTCTTATTTGCTCTGTTTTTGTTTTATAGTTATTCTAAGTCCACACGGTTGTTAATTTTACACTTTTTTGTAGTGATAACTGCAAAACATCAATATTTGACTACCACAGAAGCTGTACAAAATGCTCATTTGACATCTGTCTCCTCTGTTGCTGTGAGCTTCGTGGTGGCAAGCTTCTTGGTGGTGATGAACCGATTGAGTTTGAGTTCATCTTCCGAGGGCGTGATTATCTGCATGGTGGAGATGCAGAGAGACAAAAAAGAATAAAGAAACCTCGTTCTGCAGCCCAGCCTGAGATTCGTGAATGGTCAAAATCTGGGTGGCATGCAGATACTGATGGTAGCATTCCCTGTCCAAAGACCAATAATGATTGCGACCATGGTTTCCTTGAACTGAGAAGCATACTTCAGCCAAATTGCATATCTGAGTTAGTATGGAAAGCAAGAGAACTTGTAGAGGAAGCAATGAAACTTCAAGATGCCGAGGAGAATCTAGATGATAGGTGTTCTTGTTTGAAGCCTGTTAAGAATTCAGATGATATACACAATAACACAAGGAAGGCAGCTTTTCGTGAAGATTCCAGCGACAACTTTTTATATTGTCCTAGGGCTGTAGATCTACATCAGGAGGATTTAAGACATTTTCAATTGCACTGGAGCAAAGGGGAGCCTGTAATTGTCAGCAATGTACTTGAATGTACATCTGGTTTAAGCTGGGAACCGTTTGTCATGTGGCGTGCATTCCGCCAGATAAGCAACACGAAGCACAAAACACTCTTGGATGTGAAGGCAATTGATTGTTTAGATTGGTGTGAGGTTTGTCCGATTTCTAAATCTCGAGCTTCTATGGATCTTTGCTGAAATTCAAATTTTACTATCATTATTATGAACCTTAGTTCATTTTTTTTACAGCAATATATATTTTTTACTGAAACCACTATGCTTATAAGTGGCATTTAGAGACCAATTTAGTTGAAAATTTTTAAAAGAATTTTTATACTATTTTCAAATTTGGTATTTCCACCTTTTTTTCATTGAGTGAAGTTTCAATGTATTTAATTGTCTGCTACTCAATTCATATAGCATACCTGAAATGGATGTCTTAAAAAAGATTTTGGAGTATCAAGTTACAATACCTGCAATTTAGAAGTCCCTATACTGAGTTTAATAGGAATGTGTTAGTCATGATGTCTCGGTCCTTGGTGCTTGGCATATGTGGTTCTCCGAACATTATCATCAAATTTGGATATTGCGTGCTCAATTTATACTGCCTTAATTATAGCTTCTCTCTCCTTTCTTAGTCATTGATCTCACTCAATTTGTCATTATGTTATCTTTTAGCGGTATCTCAATTTCTTGCAAGTGTCCCTCTTCTTTTTGCTTGATCTACAAAGATACTTTCTCGCTGCCCTTGTATCCTCTGGTTTCTGTTTTTCCTTTTTTCTTAGTCACTAGAGCTTATCAAGATTTTCCGCATTTTTATGTTCTCTTGCAGAAAATGTTGTTCTCCAGTTGTGTTCATTTTTTTTTCCTTTCTATTATTTGGCAGGCTAGAGTAAACTCTATCTGTATAGTTTTACTAATTTTTTTCATCCTCTACATGAGATGTTTACCTGTTGTCGGTTATTTATGCATTTTTTTTAATTTGAGTTTTTGATTAAATGCAGGGAGAGATTAATGTGCACCAATTCTTTACTGGGTACACAGAGGGTCGATTGGATTGGTGTAAATGGCCTCAGGTTTTGAAATTGAAAGATTGGCCTCCTTCTAATTTATTTGAGGAAAGTTTGCCTCGTCATTGTGCCGAGTTCATATGTTCTTTGCCGTTTAAAGAATATACAGATCCTTTCAAAGGTTCTCTTAACCTTGCTGTGAAGTTGCCTGGCGATGTTTTAAAGCCAGACATGGGCCCAAAAACATACATTGCTTACGGATTTGCTCAAGAGCTTGGGCGGGGTGATTCTGTGACTAAGCTCCATTGTGATATGTCTGATGCAGTATGATTCAATTCTTAGTCTATTTGGAAATGTCTTTTGATATTCTATTTTATCTTATATTATTGTTATTTTTGATTTGAGTATCAACTTGAAATGTTCATAGTTTGTAGCACGGTTACAATGTCTCAGCAAGCCATTGCATTAGGAGGTGTTAGTCTTGTAGTTTAAGTACATGTCTTAATTTTTTGCTCATGGAACTGTCTTTGATAACACTATTTGATTATATTTTCAATTTAATTTACTTTGAGTTATTTATCTTTGGTTTTGGTAACTTATAATTTGAAAAATTATTCTTTTTATGATTAGTTGCATCATCATATAAGGCTTTTTTTGGGACTTGAAATGAAATCTATTCCTTTGGTTTGGAAAGCTGTAATCAATATATACTCATCAAATGCATTGTCATTCCTAATCATTTCTTTGTCATAGCGTTATATTTTTTGCTTTGTCTCTGAATTGTACTCAATGATGAGGAAAATGAAATGATGTTTCTTTTGTAATTTGACTTTTTAGGTAAATGTGTTGACTCATATTGCTAAAGTTGAATTGAAACCTGAGAGCATTGATGCCATCAAGAAACTGACAAGAAAGCACCTCGAGCAAGACAAACGGGAGCTACATCTACGTGCTGATAAACACGATGGACAAACCAATGTTAGCATGCTTGATGATTCATCGTCTTCCATAACTGCACCAGACGAGCAAAATATAGCCCGAGTCATGGATAATGAAAATGAGTTATGCAATGAGAAGGTGGCTGAATATGTTCATCAACACTCAGGTGCATATAATGATGGCCTTTCTTCTGGATCAAAGCTCAAAGAGGTTGATAAAGTGATTGTGAAAAAAGATGATAGTTTGTTGGTTGGGGATGATTCTTTAGATGGTGCCCTTTGGGATATTTTTCGGAGAGAAGATGTACCAAAATTGGAGGAATATCTAAAGAGGCATTTTAGAGAGTTCAGGCATGCCCATTGCTCTCCTTTAAAGCAGGTAAAATTATCTAAGTTAATTTTCTATATTCTGTTTGGATACCTGCTCTCCTTTAAAGTAGGTTAAATTATCTAAGTCAATCTTTTATAATCTGTTTAGATGTCCCTTTTTTTAACTTGAATCGTCAACTAAAATTTGTTGCTACCAATTAGTTTTGCTTCCAGCAACATGCTCTGCAAATTTCTGTGTTTATGTATTATTATGAGATTTATACCATGGTAAAATTGATACTATATCTCCTTCTCCCTATTTCACCTAAGTCTTAGCTTATGCTTCATTTTGTTTTTCTGTGGTGTTGTGTTTGTTTTGCTTTTGAACATATTAGAATGTGTTCTATTATAGTTTAGTCTGACAGCCCATTGATAAACCTTGCCTAGCTTGTAGCACTCCTTTTCTGTTTTCTGTTTTAAAAAAAGGTTGTAGCACACTTTTTGCTGTTGCAACTGTTTCAAGAAGTTTTTTCTGTCACTTTTTCTTAAAGTAGAAACCTCCCAATTTTTTCTTTACTTCTTCCTTCACTTCACATTTTTTTCCTAGTGATTGGAAATGGTAATAAGAGCATTTTATTGATCTAAACACTAAGACATGTTCATCTGTTCCAATCACTTAGCTGAAAAAAGCTCTGCACTACTCCTTGTGTTTTTTCCATCCTTTTTTCACATCCACTCAATTAAACTTGACGATAAGAACTTCCAATTGAAACAACAAATCAAAGATGTTATTTAAGACTACAAGCTTCATGCCTTCACCCTTTGTTTGTGGCCTAATATTCCACTAAATATCAATAAGAGGCTGATTGTTGTGTTGGCAACAAAGTAAACTCAACTCGGGAACAATCGAAGCAACAAGACTATTCTGTGAACTTGACTTTTCTCATCCATCAATGATTTGTTGCTTATAAAAGCTGTTGTCAAGCACCATTCATGGTAAGTTTTGGAGGAAGTGCACAATTACTTTTACAGTCTTTCCAAATCAAGTTCAATAGGACCTGCAATCAATCACTAAATGCAACTAAAATGTACTTGAATTTTAATCATGTTCAACTTTGCAAACTATCTATTGTTTATGAGGGATTTAGTGTTACACTTGATTAATCTAGGATTCTTCTTTAACCTATTCAAGAAGATTATGACTATGTGCACTATCATTGCATAAATCAAAGAGCGCACAATTTTATGATTGTAGTCACCCTTTTGATCTACCATGCATACTAAGTTGGTTTTGCTTGGAAGCGAATAGACCATGCCAACAATCATTTAAATTGTTAAATTGTGTGTGCTCCAATGTTTTTGATACAAACTCAGTTTGTCTGGGTTTTCAAATTGGATATGTGTTCATATAGTTTTAGAGCACTCCCACACTTTAACCCTTAAAAAACCCCATTTCTCCCCTTAAAACTCCCTTGCCTTTTCTCATTTTCACTTCTCTTCCTCTGCTTCATGAATTATCAAGTTTAAATGTTGGAAATTTTGCCTTCATTGCGGTTTGCCCCTATTCGCCTTATTGTAGCATTTGGCTTGCCTTCACTATAACCTTCAACACCTTCATTGTGTTGGATTTGAAGAAGTGGATTTAGTTTCACATTGTTTAAAGATAAGGTTTGTGCAATGTTTATGAAGCTAGGACAATCCTTACTTTACAAGTCAGTTTTTTAGAGATGAATTAGGCCTAAACCACACATTTTAAGATGATATCAGAGCCTATCCTAGATCTATTGTAGGACTTTCTGTATCTGACATGTTTTAGTCTCATTGAGACCTGAGCAGGAGGAAGTGCGTTGGAAATTTTGCCTTCATTGTGGTTTGCCCCTGACAACTTAATTGTAGCATTTGGCTTACCATTGTTGCATTGATGCATCCTCCAACACTTTCAATGTGTAGTATTTATAAAGTTTGGACAACCCCCATCTTACAAGTTGGTTTTGTAGGGATGAGTTAGACTAAACCCTCACACTCTAAGTAAATATTGTGAAAAGGTTTGTAGAAGAGGTGCTTATTGATTCAAGCATCATTTTGCAGGTACCTATAAAGATGTTGAAGATTGTTGAGCTGCCCTTATGAAGTTAGGAAACAAATGTGGGACATTGTCAAAGGAAAAGTGATAAAGATGTTGAAGATTGTTGCATTGTTGTAGCCTAACACTTTCAATGTGTAGTATTTATAAAACTTGGACAACCTTCACTTTACAAGCTGGTTTTGTAGGGATGAGTTAGGCTTGAACCTCACATTCTAAGAGTAAATATTGTGAAAAAGTTTGTAGAAGAGGTGCTAATTGTTGATCTGCCCCCATGAAGTTAGAAAACAAATGTGGGACATTGTCTAAGGGAAAGTGATTAAAATGTATAAGATTGTTGCATTATTGCCGCCTCTAACACTTTCAATGTGTAGTATTTACAAAGTTTGGACAACCTTCACTTTACAAGCTGGTTTTGTAGGGATGAGTTAGACTCAACTCTCACATTCTAAGAGTAAATATTATGAAAAAGTTTGTAGAAGAGGTGCTTATTGAATCAAGCATACCTATAAAGATGTTGAAGATTGTTGAGCTCCCCCTCATAAAGTTAGGAAACAAATGTGGGACATTATCTAAGGAAAAGTCATAAAGATGTTGAAGATTGTTGCATTGTTGCAACCTCCAACACTTTCAATGTGTAGTATCTATAAAGCTTGGGCAACCTTCACCTTATAAGCTGGTTTTGTAGGATGAGTTAGACTCAACCCTCACATTCTAATAGTAAATATTGTGACAAGATTTGTAGAAGAGGTGCTTATTGAATCGAACATCATTTTGCAAGTAGCTATAAAGATGTTGAAGATTGTTGAGCTGCCCCTCATGAAGTTGAGAAATAAATGTGGGACATTGTCTAAGAAAAGGTGATAAGATGTTGAAGATTGTTGCACCCTTCAACACTCTTGATGTGTCATATTTATAAAGCTTGGACAATCCTTACCTTACAATTGATTTTGTAGGGATGAGTTAGGCTCAACCCTCACATTCTAAGAGTAAATATTGTGGAAAGGTTTGTAGAAGAGGTGCTTATTGATTCAAGCATCATTTTGCATGTACCTATAAAGAAGTTGAAGATTGCTGAGTTACTCATGAAGTTAGGAAACAAATGTGAGACATTGTCTAAGGAAAGGTGATAGGAATGTTGAAGATTGATAAGCTGCCCCTCATAAAGTTAGAAAACAAATGTGTGACATTGTCTAAGAAAAGGTGATAGAGATGTTGAAGACTGTTGAGCTGCCTCTGCCCCTCATTAAGTTAGGAAACAAATGTGGGACATTGTCTAAGGAAAGGTGATGAAGACAATATCGATTTTGCTGGTAAGGAGGGAAAAGTCCAAACTTCAAATTGCTTCCAGCTTTTCCAAAATAGAGAAGTCTCTTAGACATTTTTGAATAACGGTTTCAAGAAGGGTATTAAGGAGGATGTCTACCTACACGTTAGCACATTTTTTTTACAACAATGCTATTTCCTTTTATCTGTCAAAGGATTTAACTATAAAAAGTATACATGAATTTATTAGAGCTTTTGGCATGTGATACAAGCAGCTATCTTATCATGATATTAGTGTTAATGTTTGAACAAAATTTGAGTTTACATGCTTTTGGAGGATCATATGACTGTTTGGAAGGGGATCATATGCATGTTTATGACAAATGGGTTGATCAATTGAAGGAGGAAGAATATCTTGGTTTTTTTTGGCAAATAGTCCGAGGGGTGTCTTTTTGGAGTCAATTGATGCTTCTTGTAAGTTGTTATTGACAACACACCAAGTTACAAGACAAATGGAATTTTTTTGGTGGAAATGAGAAAAAGTCTTTATTGGATACAATTGATAAAGGTTACAATCTTTTTTCTTTGCCAAATCAATTTTTCAATGGTGGCAGTTTAATTAAAATTGCAATGACATATGCTAATATTTTAATTTGAGATGCTTAATGGAAAATAGGTATCATTTGTTAGGATGTTCATATCTAAGAAGTGGTTGGAAAATAGACATGCAAAGCTTAAAGAAGGAAAATTGGTTGAAGATATATGATGTTATAAAGTGTTGAGATTGATTAATTTTGATGTGAAGCCAACGATAGACTACATTATTGCGCCAAAAATATATAAATATATACAATTAGCCTCCAATAATAAAAAAAATAGGTACATAAAATGTCTTCCATTAGTTCAATTTTGGAAAAAAATGTTGCATGCTTTAGTTATATATTTTGCGGAATATTATTAATGAAAAATGAATAATAATAATAATATAGGCTTTGGATGCTACATGCTGTTATTGTGTATGTAATGACCAATTGGAAATAGGAGAAGATTGTTGTGAGGAAATAAAATGAGTATGAAAATTAAGATATGGATTTGGATGATTCAAATGGATAAATTTGGTTCATATTGAAGATGTAGTAGTCTCGCTGTCTCAATTTCTACTAGTGCTATTATAGTTGCACATAAAGATGAATTTGAACTTTTTAACGTCCTAAATTATAGACGATTAGGGTATTTCATATAAATTAAGAAATCTACTTAATGTTGTATGAGAAAGACAAATTAAAAGAGTTGAAAGAAGGAATAATACTAAATACTAGAGGGTATATTAAAATAAAATTATTAATGTTGCATTGGAATTGTAAAGTGATTTATAATTTGGAACGAATTTTTTTGACAAAGTGTCTTTTTTTTGAGACAGAGGGAGTAATTTATGGTTATGAAATCTTCTCTGTTTGCATTACTTGCTAAAAAACAATGGGGTGAGATCCTATGTTGCTTAGTTGTGGGCACATTACTAACTATGAGATATATGATTTTGAAAATTTTTAGTATGAGTACATTAAAATATATTTTATTTAATATATAAAAAAATATTTATACGAAACATTGTATAAAAAAATAGAAATTACAAATAACATTTAACATATCAATATGCGAGTAGCATCTTTATAATTTACTATGCAACAAATCAAAATAGGAGTAACAATGTCATATATAATTAAATTGTAGTTTTTATGTCTAATGACAAACTTATATTTATCAATTAAACAGGGTGAATACATTGGGATTATACAAGTATTCACATGTATCTAAATGGAGTACTCATTCTTTTCTTTTGTGAAATAGTTTTGCAACATTCTAGTTTCATACACACTAGTATCAAGTTCTTCTTCAACTTGAATTTTGGATGATCAGTGCTTTAATGCTAATATATAACCAAAATTTATCTACATCTCAATGTAAACCATACTACATAACAAATTTTGGGGTAGTGATATTGTATATAAACTACCCATCAGCCTTCACTTAGTCTCCAACCATAAGTTTGTGGGCGTGGATAAGTCTTAGCTTATGCTTTGGCTTATTTGTTCTGTAGTGGTTTGTTTGTTCGATTTCTGTACATTGTAACATGTTGGAGTCAGGCTTGATAAATTATTCTTGTAGCTCTAGCTTAGAAGTTTCTAGACACCTTGTTTGTGGAAACAATCTTTACTATATGTTATTTAAACAAATTTTATCAACAAAATTTCTTTCATCTATTTTCACTTCACTCCACTTTCACTTGTTGTTTTTGTAGCTTGTGAATAATAATTTCTGCTAGGTTTTGTTTTTCTTTATTATTATGAAATTTGCATGTCACAAATGATTGGGTGAAAGAATAAATTGGTATTAAATATCTCATAATGTGTGTTGCCCTTTATAAGCAACTTGGGACTAAATTGCCCTTTCAAACCCAACACAATGAACGTGTTGGAGACTGCAATGAAGGCAAATCAAATGTCGTAGTTAAGGCGGGTTAGGTGCGAACCGTAATGAAGGCGGAATTTTCAACAAAATATTATTTGTGATTAGTTAGTTTTGAATATGTACCATCATGACGTGAATAAGAAATTATGTTGATGTGATTAGGAATATTGAAACATTGATATGTAGGGAAATGCATGGTTGTGAATGTTGGCTGGATTGATTATCTTGTGCCTTTTGTCTTGTTGTTTAAAAGTTTACTTGATTGTCAATGGGGCATCTGTATATAGATGTTTGGGCAGTCTAATGGCTGTTCAATTGATATGTATTTAACTTCATGAATGACATACCCCTTGGCAATGTAGGTTGTTCACCCCATCCATGATCAGACCTTTTATTTGACTATTGAGCATAAGAAGAGACTGAAGGAAGAGTATGGTTAGTAATGTTCATAATTTTTCTTATACAACTTAGTTTGAGCAGCGTTGATCAATTTACATGTGCCATTTTGTTGACAATTCAATTGAATTGTAGGAATTGAGCCCTGGACTTTTGTTCAGAAGCTAGGAGATGCTGTTTTCATTCCCGCTGGTTGTCCCCACCAAGTCCGTAATCTAAAGGTACATTTTTTGTATATGATGTATTTTATCTTAAATGAAGGTAATGTTTTCGTGTTTGCCAAGAAGAGTAGTTGTTGATGTTATAAGCTTTAGATAATAGATGAATGAGAGATATAATAAATGTATCTTAATTATGGTTAAACATGATTAATAATGACTTGAGAACTAACTATTATGCTGCCTAGTTCTTGAACACTAATTTCTATGCAAAACATTAATCCAGCAAATTTTTAAAAATTATTTAAAGGTAAACAGTGTCCTAGTTTAAAATGATTTCCATATTCTTATTAAATAAATTTTTAAGGTCGAGGAAGTAGATTTCCATGAGGTGTTCTTCAAAAAATTTGAATCGAGCCCACAAATACTTTAAGCCATATCATCAGTACATTTGTGTACATTTGTATGGGGACTCGAGTGGCCTGATTATTGGCAGCCCAATAGATCTAGGGTAGATTTTGATGTCATCTTAGTATTTGGGTCAGTCCTTACTCAAATTTCCAAAACTGGCTTTTATAATAATAAATGTCTATCCATTATATATACATTCTGAACATATTATGTAATGCATATTCATGGCTGGTGTGAAAAAATATCATATATTTTTATTTCCTATAAATACCTTATGTTTGAGAATGCTATTAAGGTTGCCAAACATTTTCAAAAACTGCTCAAGACTATGATTCTTCAGTATATTCATGGGGACTGTTATCCTTGGGAATATAGATATGATTTAAAATAGATACTCTCAAAAGTAATATCTGTATCGAGTTGTGTGAATCTGTTAAATCAATGTTGGATGTCAAGAGTTATAGTACAATGACTAGAGATATTGCCCTACCTTGAAAAAGTGATCATTCCTATTAAATCAATTCCGGATGGCAATGAAAGCCGTATTGTGGTAGTAACGCATTGCTCAAAATCCATTTAGTGCGACTGAACAAGCATTATAGGTTTGTTTCTTAAATTCTTTGATAGAATCTTGACCTGCCATCCTATGTAACAATCCTTCTTTAATGAAACAAGTTATTTAAGCCAGTCACACTAATGATTCATTTTCGTTGATGTGTTGAGAGCATGTCAGTTTTAAAAGATACATTTCAAATCGTACTTGTAATGTTTTTTACACTACAATTTCTTACAAATTGCCAAAGCCATATACCACCACCAGCACACTTTTATGTGTTGTTTGCTTTTCTTTCTAGCTATTGCTTGATAAGTAAGTGTAAATGCCAATGATATGCATCATGGTTTTGCAGTCATGCACCAAGGTTGCTCTTGACTTTGTCTCTCCTGAAAATGTTGGCGAGTGCTTTCGCTTGACAGAGGAATTCCGCAAGCTTCCAGTAAATCACAAGTCCACAGAGGACAAATTGGAGGTACATCATACTATTTTTGTTTATTTGATTATGAATATTGAGATATTGCATCTCCTATTTTGTCATTAGCAGCTTCTTTCAACTAGACTTTGGTAATAGTTCAATATCAGTTTTAAAACTGGGTTTAACCTATCAGAACAATTTTTGTTAACTTTCAGTCGCACCTATTGGCGGCACTGTTATGCTGCCCATGTCCAAATCCAAACCTTACTTGGTTGAAACTGGTTTTAGCTTATTAGTCACATTTGCTTGAATTAAACATTTTTACCATTTTGGGCCTAAACTACAAGGTTCTCATTAAATCACTTAATTAACTGTTATCTAATAAGAACTGATAATGAGAACAATGGAAAAGTGGTTCTGCATAGTTAGCAGACAATCTTAGAAGTTTTGATCTTCAATCTATTTCAGTAACATCTGATGTTACTGTGTCATACTACTGGTCTTACCATATCAACAGATTGTTGTTGGTATTTTGTGTATTGTTTTTTTCCCTGATTGCTGTTTTTTTTATTTTTTTTTAAAAGGTGAAGAAAATGATTATATATGCTATGCTTGACCTGGTAAAAAACTTGGAAGAAGCAAGGTTAGTGACTGCAAACTCTAAACCTCATGGTTATGGATTTGTCTAACGGGCATTTATGAATGTTCACATTGTTGTCTAGTAATGCATTGAAAATTATATCTTGTCTTTATACGTTATTTTTTTTCAATTTCTTTTGGATCACCATTTGTCTGTGTAAATCATTAAGTTGATGACTGTCAATCAATTTGCAGGTCTGGGGAAACTGGGGAAACTAAGGTTCCAGTGTAAATTGTAAATGCATATGAGATTGACTCTAACTGGGAATGTAAATTTGGGAGTTGCTTTGTTAGGTTCCTGATCTTGGGTTCTTTTGTATACGGCAGTAGAAAAGATATAGGTTTTGTTCTGTAACATACCATGATGATGTACTTTTGAAACATTATGACTTGGTGTACACCACTTCTATTATAGTGTCCTAATTATAGCTATGTTCAGGACTATAGCAGAAGCTAATGCTAGCATTGAAATATTAAACTTTTGAATCCATTCATGATACTTTCAAGATCGCATAAAACATGGTTGGTGTTAAGTATTTTTTCTAATTTCTTCTGAGGCATGTACTCATTCCTGTTTATTTTAAATTTTGTTCATAAAGTTTAGATCAACGTTTAGGTGCGTTAGTTCCAAACACTGTACCAATAGAACAGAGTGCTCTGACTTGTAGGTTGTATCTATCCTCAAATTATTTCAACTTTTATTTTATTCCGCATCTATTATTTTGATTTACTTCATTTTTTCTGTTTATTACCTCATTAGAATTTTTTATACTGTGATTATTCCATTAAACTCATTAGAAGTTTCATGGTTTATTGTAGTTAATTTCTTTGAGGAATTAACATCTTACCCTCCAAATTATACATGCCACCTTCCATAAGTGGCAACTTTATCGGAAAGTCCCTCCAAAATATCAGAATTTTAGAAATTCACAGTTTTAGTGCTTTTTAGTGTGGCGTATGCATGTAGTCGGAAATTTGAAATTCGAATTCGGTTCTGTAAATTTGAAATTTTCGCTAACTGTCTTTTTCTATATGTATTGAAAACTTTGAAATTTTCGATAGAAGAAAAAAATTGGAAAATTTAAATTTTTGATAGCACAAGGAGTTTTTTCCCCCTCAATTTTTAACTTTTACTTGAATAATTTATACAATAAATCAACTAACCGAATTAATATATAAATAGAATGATTGTTATACATATTTGTATTGAAAAAATTACAATCATTTACACAAATCTTTCCAACATCTGAAGCGATCTGTTTGTATTGATTCTCACGTTTTTGCATTATTACAACAATTTTGTTTCCAACAAGCAGTGATGAGAGATAATCCAATGTTATGTTAAGTTGTATGGAAATAGGAACAAATATGACTCCGTATTTAGAAGCAATAGAGTAATTAATATCAGGAATCAACATCCATTTATCTTTATCCTGGAGATCCAAGTGTTCTACTTGTAACACATTTCTAACAACATAAACAGTGTCATAGAACAACTTGGAAAACAAGTTAGCGTGTTGATGGACTTGAGCATCTAACTACTTCCGAATCAAATAACATGAATCTTCCTTCCATCCTAATAAAAATGAAATGCAACTGAAATCACAGTTGCCATCCGGTTCAACATCAATAATGGCATTGATGAATGGATGAAAGAAAGCAGTAAATTGTGACAAGTACTTAACTCTTGAAGATTTGGTAGAAGATTGCCTACCAATTGACATGGTTGACGATTGACTTCCACTTGATTTTATACACGATCTCTTCATATTTGACTCCCCTGTGAAGCCTCAGCATATTTCTACTGGTTAGGATCACGACACACATCACTCTCCTCACCATTTTTACTTTTATTAACTCCCCTCTTTGACTTGTATTTCACCGGTAGTGGACACATTAAAGTTGTGGATGGATAAGTTAGATCACAAACTTTTTTCTTTAACATCCTCTGACCCACAATATCCAAAGTACTAAAATATTTCTTCGATTCTTCACACTCTTCTTCTAGATCTCACTTACTCTCTTCACGACTCACATCATGTTCTGAAATGTGCAATTTCGTCCAAAATACATGAATTGATTTCAAAGGTGTAAGGGTACCTAAAATTTGAAAACCAATAAGATGACACGCACACGGTAACTCATGTGTTGTTCTAATGAAACAACCACACCTCTCCTTGCTTGAACCAATAGATTTTATTCTTTCTACTTCCTTCCCCATGAGCTGTATACACTGTCTTGAGACAAAACCATGGAACTTAGCATATAATGAAGTGTTATATCGATGTTCAATATTGTTGATACTTTTTTGAAACAACACTATGATGGAACCTAGCTGTAACTTCAACATGTTCACAACATCTCAACTTCGGCACAAATCACCACGACTTGAAGTCAACACGTTTTTTAGTCTCTAATATACACACTCTACCCTAAAATCCATAAATATAATAACATGTTACAAATTATTATCGAAACGTAAACATGTATAATAATGACATCAAACTGCCACGATCGGAGCACCTGTTTGTTGTTGCGTTTCCTAAATGAGTGACTCTGTTAGTTCATGCAGCAACAAATCTTTCTTTATATGGTGTTAACCATATTTCATTCACATACTTGACCAAAGATGGAATATCACCACAAACACTCTCGAAGTGCTTGAAATGTATATCAAACTCATCTTCTGTATTTGAATATACAATGTTGTTCCATTGGTCCATGACATTTTCTTGTCTTTCCGATTTCACATACTCTTTACAACATTTTTTGAAATATGGAATGTACACAACATATGAGTTGCATTTGGAAACACAGAATTCATGTCATTCATTAATGCAAGTTTCCGGTCTGTCACCACAATATTCAGAAGCAATTTCTCTAAATAGAATAACTCCTTGAGTTTCTATAGTGCCCATATGTAGTTCTCCTCCCTTTCATGTTCTAAATAGGCAAAGACAATTGAAAACATCAATTTTATTGATGTAACACCAATAATCTCTAGCAGTGGCCGCCGATACCTGCATGATTATATTGCACATAATCAACCAGCTCACTCAATATATTTTAGGATGAGAGAAGTAAAATTCTTGCCTATTTATCTTGTATGTGCAATAAAAAATTAACACCATATGAGACATATTCAACAACTTCAAAGAATCAGGATGTGTTCAGAAGATATCAATCACAATTTTCGAATTCTCCCTATTTTTAGTCCAACACATGTTTTTATCTTGGTGAATAAGGCCCAATAATATTTATATCTCAATCATTGCACCTCTCTTGCTCAATCTGTATGTTGATCTAGCTTTAAATACCTTGATAATACTTGTGAGGTTTTCTGAATCTCTGTCTTTCAAAGCAGAGACGATGTACCTTGGTGCCATATTGTACTTCGCCATGACATTCACAAACTTTTTTTTCATGATCTTTTAGATGTCTTAATATGTCATGGCCGTCTAAACCCTTATCTAGTCTATGATTATGCATCCCGCATCTAACCATCACCTTCCAACCGATACCACTTGGAATAGATCTCAGTCTAAATGGGAATTTAACTTTCATAGTATAGATGCCATCAGAGGTGGACCCAGATTCCTTTTTTCTTTTGAATTTTTCTCCTCTATCACAATCAATAATCAATTTATCCTCCCTCGTATTCTATTAGCTGAACCAGAATGAATTGTAACAACAACAATACCATATAATTTACCAATAGACTATGCCCATTCTAGAATTTTAAGTCGGGATTCAAAAATCTGCCAATTACAACAACATATAATTGATAAACTTCATCAAATTATTTAAGGTCGACAAATAAATAATAATGTGTAAATTCAATTGAAGACATACGGTATCTATGGTGAAGAACTGCAAAATATTAAAACATGAATCCGTAGAAGAAGCTGAAGTTGTCGGCTCTGGACTGCAAATGCATAAAATTTCATCTGCATGCATAATGTAAATTTCAGACATAATTGAAATTTCCGATGTTACAATACCTTTAGAAATTAATTTTATAAAAATTTAGTAAAAATTCACAGACTTTTCAATTTTTTTTATAAAAACTCATTTTTTTTGAAAAATATGGTAGTGTTGCTGAAATACTTTCTCAGGCTTCTCACGTTCCAAGTTTGAGGGATGCCTTTTCTGTCTAGGTGCTCGGGCTTGTAGGCTTCGTGCTCTAGCTCTTGATTTGAAAAGGCCCCTTCTAGTTTGGCATCATGTCTGATTCTGGTGTTATATTTGCACTATTTTACAACATATTCGTGTATGTGTGTCATTTCTCTGGTTTCTTCTAATTAGTTAGTATCAGTCCAGAGTCTAGTAAGGTTGTATTTGTTGTTGTAGTTGTCTCTTCTCTAAGTGGGCGTGTTTATCTCGACTGACATCATGGCGTCAGATCCGTACACCATCCTGAAGGGGGTCTCCTTGGTGGTCGAGTGGGGAGTGGTATGGTAAGACAAATTATTTCATGTAACTTTTCAGCCCACAAACCTTTTGCTTCGTCTAATTTCTTCATTCCTGATAGCACCACTTTGTTGGCCGTTTCTGCTTGATCATTCGTATGGAGATGGTCGACCGATGTAAATTTGTTTTCTATACCCAACTTATTGCAGAAGTCGAAGATTGCCGTGCTGACAAATTGGATACCGTTATCTGTGATGATCACCCGTGGAAACCAAAAACGACAGATAATATTCTTCCAATAAAAACAACACACTCTTTCCGCTGTGATGGTTACCACCGCTTCCGCCTTAACCCACTTCCTGGAGTAGTCTGAGGAAATATTTCTCTTTTTAGTTTGTAAAAAAAATAAATTTTTAAAAATGGCATCATCTAACTTGTGTAGAGTTTTGACGAGTTAAAAAAGAAATAAGTCATTTAGTTTTAAAATATTATAATAACTGAATATCATTAATCTCTAGATAAATAACATTTAATTGGTTATATTTCAGTTTTGCATAAATACCCTTAATTTTATTTAAAAATTTAAATCGTTACACTACTCTCTTTCTTCCTTCTCCTCTTTACTTATTTTAGCTCTCTATTCTAACATTTTTCTATCACATGTTTAACGTGTTGTTCTTTTCATTTTGAAAGTAGTATAAGTGAACTACATTATTGTGAAATGAGTTTACAAAGACAAGCCATACATTAATTAAATCAATATATCCATCACCACCGATTTAAAAGTGAATTTGCCTCTCAATTTTGATGTTTGGTTTTATG